TTGTCTGCATGGAGTCACAGCCTGACCCAGTCAAATGCAGGTTTCCTGCGGCAAGAGCGGAGGTTTCGACCAAAAAGATACTCTTGTGGCACCTTACGGGTCTCTGTAGTCAACCGCAAGGTCTCAAAGAGCGAGCTCCCAAAATGTAATGTTTCTCTCGCTCAATGTATTTTAGGGTCGCACGCAAACAACCTCTCCATACTGAATTCCAAGTGCTAAAAGTCTCCAGGAACAGGCCTTGCACCACAAAACCAGGGTTGCTTGCCCCAACGAAAGCTATTTATCTGGGAATGTGTCCAGTTCTGTCCTGAGGGAAGAAGGGCCTTTCCACTGCCTGTGCTTTCCTCCTCCCTCCCTATCCACTTTCCTTGCATGCCATGACCTTCTAGATTGTACACCTGTGAGCAGGGAGTGTTTTGCTTTACTGATTACACATAAGTCACTTTGGGAAACCTTCAGCAAATCAATACGTAGTACTATGCCTAAAGGGCAGCGCTGAATGTCGAGATCAACATCCTGGAATCAGTTCCCATTTTTTTAAAAAAAGACTCAAGCTTCTAGTCCTTAAAACAAGGCTGGGAAAACTTGGGAAGGATCCCAAAGGCAGGGAAGGAGCGGCTTTTCAACAGCATGAGCGCTGTGGTCTAATATGGGCTTCATCTGCCCAATGCCATCCAAACTTGGGGAATGGAGAATGTAGGTGGGCTTCTTCACCCACACATGCACTGAAAAGCCCAGAATATACCGCAGCCTAGCCAGTGGAAGGCGGAGTCGGATGAAGCCTGGGTTTTTTAAAAAGCAAGAGAAAAAGTATTTGGCCTTCAGAAGATCCTTGGAAGAGATCAAAGCCTTTCCCACCGAGGTCTCTCGTTCCCAGGGCGGCGTGGCTTCCATCCCCAAGTTCCCTTATCACCCACGCCGCGCCGCCATGACGTTCTATACACAAAGAAAGAGCCGTCCCCTTTGAAGTGTGGGATCAGACCGGGCAGGCCAGATCCGTCCCCCCAGAATAACAAACAATACAGGTTCAATCGGAGTTCTCGGCCCGAGTTCATTTTTCAGCTCCAAACCCACTTTCGCCAAGCACAGGCAACCTTGAACCTTGAGGACAGATGGAGATTTATCTGGTGGCACAACCGCAAGGGTATGTGCACTGGGGAATTTGTATTCTTGGGAATGCATTTCATATATAGATCGGCCGGCCTTTCCACCCCCTTCTCTCGCACACCCGCTGGGAAGACGGTTACCCAGACTGCGACACACGAGATTAAACAACGGGTTCGATTCTGCTACCCCAGTGAAGGAAGCCGAGCCAGCCGGTCTTCCAGGCACTGCTGAAAATGACCCATCCATATCCCCCACTTCAAGGGAGCCCAAACCATAACAGAGCTAAAATTAGATTCCAATTTATTCAAAAGTAAATCTCAAGAAGAGCCATATAAATATTGCAGAAGTGGGATCATGGTTAACGACGGCACTCTGTTTCATAACCGGCTTTAATTGCTCTCATAAAAGACAGAGCCGGCGTTATTCTTGATGCTGACGGGCTGTCTCCTAAAGCAAGAGGTCTTAAGGGATGCTGTGAGAGGGGACCTGGCGCTGGGGAGGCGGTCCGTGGCTGTTAGCCCACCAACAGTGTGGGGCGGGGGGAACGCCCGAGAAAACATTTCCCCTCCCCACCCATCCAAAACTGGGTGACTTCCGCCCAGGCACAGACTCACGGCCCAACCTGCCTCACAGGGGGTTGCTGTGAGAATAAGCCTGGGAGCAGGCAGAGGAGAACTTTGTAAGCCGCTTGGAGTTCTGTGTTTAAAAAACAAAAAAAGACGGGGTACAAATCTAATAAATAAACATTCGGAACTGTGATTTCAGGGTGGGCGGAAGCTCCATGGCTTAAGCCTCGCCTTGCCATGTGAAAGCTTCAGTCCCAGTTTCAGGATCAGCCCAGCAAAAACAGGCAGCAGGTGATGGAAAGGAAAGACCCTTCACTCAATCAAAGCTTTGCTTTTTTAAGCAATTAACCCATGAATTACCTAAATGTTCGATCCGTAGTTGGAACACGCTCAGGTGTGGCCCAGATGGGTTTGGAGTTTTCAAAATTTCTTCAGATCTTAGAATTCAGTGGTTGCATGTTGGGGTTATTTGAGTTCTGCATTCTTCAAAGGACGTCCCCTACAAACATCTTGGGATCACTGAACCTTTTATTTTATTTTATTTTATTAATTTTACTTTATCTTATTTTATTGGTGCTAAGTTAAGTCTTTCCACTTCTCCCAAGCATAAGGCAGCATATGATGAAGTTTTAAATCAAGCCTTGACTTGGTCTTGTGGATTGCTTTACATCACTTTTCTGATCAGTGTGTGTCCGTCATGGTGTTGCATGTTTATACGACTCTACGCTACACCACACTGTTAGGGTCTTGATCTCTGCAAACCAGCCAGAGAGTTTCAGACCGTGGGCAGCCCAGAAATGTAACAAATGGAACGAGTGTTGAAGCAAAATACACACAACAGAAAATACAGCCTGGAAGCGACAATCTCAAAACGGGATGACCCCCGCAACGCTTCAGCACGAAGCGTCTCTGAGCTGGGATGATAAAATCTGAGACACGGAAGCCACTGGGAAGCAAATTTTCCCGTCGAGGCCACGACGACAGTGCGTGGCACCAGCACTCGGGAACCGGCATCGCAGGACGCCAGTCTCAGGAGTGTGTGATTCTCATGGTGTGGGTTGTGTTCTTGGTTTGGAGTGTGCCTGCAAAGTCTTGGGGGCACCTTGTGGAAGGGGGTACACACAGGTGGCCAGGCCAACGGTCCCGATCAGCCAGAGGGTTCTTAAAGAAGACTTTAAGAAGTCTTGTGCAGAATGCTATTCCTGGGAAGCTTGGCGGCAGCGTCTGTTTGAGGGCTAAAGCGAATGCAACCTTTCCAAAAACAAAAGCACAGATATTCTCGATGCCAAACTCAAGTCATCACAAAACAAAAAACCCTGGAAGTAAAGAACATGCAGTTTTATGCTCTGTAATGTTCAAGGGATTGTTTACTTCAACACACTATATTTTATCTACTAAGTAGTCGAGCCATTTTACGCAAAGTTCAGGGAACTTGGTGAACATAAACTTTTTAAAAATGTTATCTTTTGATGAGCCTCTTAATAGGAAATAATCTCCCTTTTTTCCCTCCTCCTGTAACAAAAACAGCCAAATGCTGGAAAGATAGCAAGCACATTTTGAAGATGTTTCCACTTTATAAATCACACGCTCTTGGCAATGAGACCCATGCCAGTTGCTGCAGGGACTCGATGCTGCTTTTTCAACGTCTCCCGCCAATCGGGCCGAAGCGGGACATGAACATAGTAAGCAGAGGCCAGCAATAAATCTGTGGTAATTTATAGATCTGGTCTCCTCCTGCCATGTTCAAATGGGGAAGGGAAGGGAAGGGAAGGGAAGGGAAGGGAAGGGAAGGGAAGGGAAGGGGCGAGAGGCCTTGGCAGAAGCATCTTGTTTTAGCCGATTGCTACTGATTCCGTACCTCATGGCAGCAAGAGGCTTCCCTCGCGCCATCTTTAAACTCAGCCAAGTGTCTCCTTCTCTTGCAGAAACCATCCAACCTCCAAACACAAAATGAGAAGAGAGAGCCAGCCTGCAGTCCCTGCTTGCTGTCCCCCAAAGAGTTTACAAGCCACTTGTCGTGAGCGGAGCCGGCTGGTGCCGGAGGTCAGACTAGATGGCCCGGGAGACCCCTTCTGACTGGCGCTGTTTCTCTGTTTCTAACTTTGTGAGGCAGGTGACAGACAGACAGACAGACACAGAGGGTCCGTCAGCTTCGCAGCTCATCGCGAATTGGAACCTGGATCTTCCCAGCCCTGGGGTGGTGCTAGGATCCCGCCCCGGGCCGGCCCATCCATGTGCCAAGATCTCACAAGAGCCCAGAGCCAGAAGATTGGGACTCTCTGGCCCCAGGACCACACAACACCCCCCGCCCCGGTTGTCCCGGGCTCAGTCCAGAAGAGCCCCGAAGGAGGCAGTGTAAGTTCCTTTGCTTAAGCTAGCCCTGCCGCTCCCCAACACCGATTTCTACCGGCCACTGATCCGCAGTGGCTGGCCCAGGGCTCATTCCCCAGACAAATCGAGTGAGAATTTGCACAGTCCTTCCCAGCTGAAGCACCCGAGGGATTTCGCAGGGAGAAGGAAAGCTTCTGGTCCATCTCGCAAGATTTCTGAAGGCGGGGACTCGTGCTTGCACAGAAGCACGAAGCTCCTTGCAGGCAAGAGGACAGCAAAGGCAGCCTGGCTCGGGAGGAGGTTATTCATCCAACCAGCCTGAGAAGAGCCTTTGCCATCCCTGGCTGGCCCACCCTTCCAGCTGAAGCGGAGGCAGATCTGGTGCTCTAGCTCTCGCTTCAACAGCCTGCCGCTCTTCGACGCAACAGGCCCAGCTCTGACCAGACTAAATTCCGCCAGTCTGTGTCCCTGTTAGCCAAGCACTGAGCTTGGTCTGCAGGTGAGAATTTCTTGAGCTTAGGATGGATCATGAATAGGCTCCAACAAGGTTTGGGGTTGTTTTTTTTATGGCTTTACCCAATTTGCACACCCTGAGCCGTTCTGCAAGGCCAAGGCAGAACAATTTGCTCCGAAATCCACTTTTCTGCATGCGTCCCAAGCCAGTTGGCCTCAAGGAAAATGCCCATTGAATGCATATATTTGAAGAATGTGTGCAGAGCAGAATTTCAGCAATATCAAGTGCCTTCGAAAACATGAACAGTAACAAAACTGCCCACAAAGATATAACGTCCTCTTTTAAAAGGTGAAGAACCAGAACCTGGTATAGAAACGTGGTGGAACAAGCTTGACTTCAAAACCTGACCCGGCGGCAAAAATTAGCCAGACATGCCATCCCTGCCGTAGGGTCCTCTTCAAATGACACGAGGCAGGATACACCAGCATTAAAACTTGCTTCCAGAAAGACGCGTGTGAAGGTAACAGGATTTCAAAACATACCTCCCAGCTTTCGTTATGATCATTTCAGTGCCGGCCTCGTGAAACTTCTTCCATAGTTCTTTCTCGTGCAGGCACACCTTGATGTTCTCGATCGTCTTCAGCAGCCGGGAAACAACAAAAAGAGCGTTAGACCACGGAAGCGCCTGCTGAGCCGGTGACACCAGAGCCAGAGGCCAACAGCCATGAAGGGGGAGCCGATTCAGCCTGTGATGAGAGGCCCAGAAATCTAGCGGTTGATCGGGCCGGTTCTAGGCACTGAGGACACCTCAGTTCAACCATGGGGCAAAAATGCCCAGGTGTGGACATGCTGATGTGCGTATAGTTTAGAGACCATCTGGGAGGGCCGGATTTGCATACGGGCTGAGCGGGGTGCAGCCCGGGGACTCCTGCCAATTTTTCTCTCATCACTCTTGCACCCCGATCTAGAACCCTGGGCTGACCGGCTGCAACTCACCCTACGATCTACCAGGAGATCCTCCTCAGGACCATACCGGGTTCTGAAGGAATATTATATGCATCTCATTTAAATATTCTGAATATTTCTTATGTGAAACCCACACAGCAGGTGGAGACTCTGAGGTCGAGAGCTCACCTGAAGCTACACATATTGCTCATGGCTCACGAAACCATCTGATTGATTTTTCTATTTCATGCGGCTGCTTTGCATCCATCCATTCATTGTATTTATATCCCACCTTTTTTCCTTCCGAGGGAGTCAAGGCAGTTTACATAACTTATTTATGTATTTATTTAGCAGACTTATATGCTGCCCCATTCGCCTAAGCCTCGGGGTGGCTTACAAATAAATAAATATCATTAGTACAATAAAATACAGTTGGAGACATCCTGGCCAAAGTTGTTAAAATCAATAAATAATTAAGAATAAATAAATAATTCTCCTTCCTGCTCTCAAGCAGATTCTCACAACAACCCTGCAAGGTAGTCTGTGGCTGGCCCGAAGTCTCCTGAGCCCCGGCATCCCTCACTGCTCTCGCTTTCACTCAAAGATGAATTTTCTTGGGCCTCGGGCCACGTTCCCTCCTCCTGCTGCTAGCAATTTGTCATTGCTTCTCTCCTCCCCGATTGTCTATCAATCACGGGGGCAAACAGAAGAAAAAATTGAGGCAAAGGCCTGAGGCATAATTGTTATTACTTAAATGCATGTTGCGTTTATAATAGGACTGGTTTTTTTTTTATAAAAAAAAGCTTCAACGGCCAATGCAGCCAATCCCCAGCTTCACATCTCAGTTTCCTTATTATATGACCAGTTATAATTCTGATACTGGAAAGTTGTCAGCACTTTATAAAAACACACTTACTAAACAGGTTTAGCCAATCAGAAGGCATGATGGATTTGCAAGGTAATTTACAACCATCCCCCCTATTTTGGCATAAAGGTGCATAATTATATTTAATTATTGTATAAAAATGGCAGGATCTATAACTCTCATTTTTTTTAAAAAAAAGTCATAGTGCTATTGAAATAATTTGGCACATAAAACTACTGTGTGGTCAGAACTGGGTTCTTCTCACAAGATTAGTGGAATGAGCCACTATGTTAAAAAGCAAACCAAGGAAGATGGGACCTGTCTTAAGCCAATTTTCACGGACCTCCTAAATTTAAATTAAAGAGATAGGTCACTCTTCTGGCACAGTGGAAGACAAGGTGGTGCAGTCACACCCTCCAGGTTTTGATTACAACTCCCGTAAGCCCCATCCAGCATAGCCAACAATCAGGGACGCTGCAAGTTCGGGACTGGAGAAAAATTACTCTCCTAACTCATTTTGCACTTTTGATCTGGTACGTGAACTGGAAATCATGCTAAGTTTCCGCTTTGCAACGGAGTTTCTGCATCTTGTGGGCCAAAGTTTGTATATTCAGGAAAACAACGTTCCAAGCATATGATATATGATATGGGGAAAGTGTGTTCTAGAAAGCTGTTTTCAGCAGACAGTATTAGAAGATGTTTGCAATCAAACACTGCAGGGCTGTGCAAGGGAGCCGCCAGGCGGAGTGCCCCCCCGGCCTCACGGACCCCTGCCTGCGGACCAGTAGAACCCGACTCAGCCGACTAAGTCGCACACGCACACGCTACCACGGAAAGCGGAACGCAGCCTTTACTGCAGGGGTGAAGAAGAACTCGGAGGGCCCAATTCCAGCACAGCTCCTAGGGCCACATGGACAGGGGAGAGGACAAAAATAGAAGGAAACCCCAGCACATTCTAGCTGGACGCTTTTACTGCCACTCCCAAGTCCGTCTCGAGAGGCATTTCAGGCTTCTAGTGCCGAAGAACACAAGGACAACACGGAGGAAGCCACCGAAACATCGCTGGGTGGTGGGACCGGGAGATGGCAAGGCCTTCCTCACCGGTCTTACGAACATTAAATTTGGGCTCCTCTGCATAAAGTGTTGCTATCCGACAGAACACTTCTGCCAAAAACCTGCTACCGTACGCCAGGGCCAGTCCGAGGCTCTTCTCCGAGGGAACTTCAGAGGGTGGTGGTGACGGAAAGGGCTTTCACGGGCCAAGCACGGCCATCTTTTTGCCGTCAGCTTAAGACAGCCCTCTTGTTCTTGTCTACTAGGGTCTCCAATCTAATTTCAACCGCTTTCCGGTGTCTGAATGGTTTTTAAATTTTGCATGCTGCAATGATGCATTTTTTATCAGCGCTCTGCCATTTTTGTAAGCCACCAAGCAAGCTTTGGTGGTGGGCCAGTGCAGAAGTGAAAGGGATGGAACAGAAAATGAAATATTCAAGAGCATCGAGCCCACAGCTCTGGTTTAGGACCTAGCACACAAGGGCCTGCTTCTGGAAGGGAAAAAGCAGGACTGTGTCCCGCGACTACAGCGTTTCCCAGTCAAGTGGCTTTCCAGGCCCCACACGAGCCCTTTTTGGATGGAGAAGAAGGGGACTTAGCCCCACTCCCTGGCCAACCTTCCTCCCTCCAGCAACAAACCGGCTCCATCAAAGCCCCGCCAGAAAATCACCCCTTCCTTACCTCCAAATTGTGCACAAGCAAGCTGCAAAATAATTACCTGGGGGACTGGCTACTGATGTTCCTAGGCTGTCTCTCCCCAGTCCAGCTCAAACTGGCATGTGTAAACAGGACACCTACCTGCTCTGGATCAGGAACCTGTGGACTGTTTAGGGGTGCAGTGCTGACTCCCGCTACGCCGAGGACTGGAGAGCTGGCTGCGGTTTCGGCATGGCCAGGGGCCTGGGGGGCGGCAAACCCGTCTTCGCCTTCCGAGAGGCTTTTCTCCTGGAGCATCTCCTTAAAGAAGCAAGAAAATGCAATGTACTCCCTTCTGGACTGGACAAGCCAAGAAGGATCCGCACAGTCCCAACAGCCGTCCCCCTACGGAGGACAGCGAGGCCAAGAATGGGGATTGCACTAAGCTTTCCAACCCTTCCCTGCCTCTCCAAACCTGCGAAAGCAACATGTGAATTCCATTCCAGAAGGCGAGTTGGTCCAGCAAACCAACAAAGCGGCCTGTGGCATTAAAAGTACAGCTGGAACAATATATCTCCTGTGATTTCTCTGTTTCAGTCCCTGCACCCACCGTAAATTCCTACCTTTCTCAGACTCTGAGAATGTTTCCAATCTTACATTCAGATAGTTTCAAACTTGGGGAATTTGGTAAAAGAACTGCATAAAAATGCATATGTTTTTTACAGCCACATCTCATAATATGTGCATTTCTGAATACAATTTTGCAAGCAGTTTTCCTAATATGAAGCTAACTCTGAAAAAACTCTGTACTTTCAGGCACCAAATTGTCCTAGGATGGTTCCAGTAAACAACCACATCCAAACAGGTCTCTAAGCTACGAGTCCGATCTGGTTTTAAACCTGTTGTGACTCCTAGAGAGGGAACCTGTGTATGAAGGGGGACACAGAAACCTCAGCCAGCCACTGCAGAAGTACAATTAATTCCTAAGGGTCTTGTATGGAAGCCATGCCTAATGTTCTAATGTTCTAATAATAATAATAATGCCAAACTCATCTGGCGTAAATCTGATAGGAGCTTTCTTCGGCAGTTGTGTTCCCCTCCAGTCCCGTCTTTTCTTGTCCCTCCTCGAGTATCTTCTCCAACATGGAGAATATCTCATTCCCACACTACTCTTGCCAGCACCAAATGCACTTTCCTCAAGATGGAGCCTGCCTTGAGTGGAGAAGAATTTTGGAAAGACCCAGTGGAGGGAGCCAAGATGGTCCTGTTTTTTCACAAGGGGAAAACACCACAGAGCAAATGCGGACTCAGCGCAACGACTACTCAATAGGCCACCTCAGAAGCTTAATTAATGAGCTTTACAAACAGCCAGTCCCTGGCAGATAAAACTTCCTATCAAAATAGACCAAGGGACTGCCTGCACATTTGGACTGGGCTTGGAGGCGCAGCGAGGGGGACTGCGACAGATCAGTGCTAGCACTTCAAAACTCACCCAGCACCATTGGCTGGACCAACACAAAATTAGTTACTCCTTGTTTTTTTGTCAAGGGCCGCAGGTGCATCACGTCCGTCCGCGAATCTGGCCCGCACAACTTGCAACCGTTTCATGGTCTCGCAGGTGCTCATCAGCTTCACCTGACTTTTAGGGTCGTGTGCCAGCCTCCGTGGGTTAAGAAAAGGCTGTGCGAATGGGAGCTGCTTCCCGGGCACGGCTGCGGACAGTTGCAGGCTCCCATCTGGCAGTGGCTTGCAAAGAATGCACAAAATAAATTTAATTCCTTCCAGGAGAGTCTGGAGCTTGGCATGTCTTTTTAACCACTTGCTCTGGAGATCCAGCTCCAATCCAAGAATGAGTAAAACTTGGACTACTTATCTTTCTCTTGGACTACTTATCTTTCTCTTCTAGCCTGTACTCTTGTGAAAAATAATAGCCTAAGCTCACGGGCCGTTTTGTTTGCAACGCGATCCACCTCCCAGGGCTGCTTTAGCACAAGGAAGAGGTGCAGGTTAAATAATAACAAATACCATTCATACACAAACACACACTCATTCACAGATTTGGATACGTCACTTCAGCCAAACAGATCAACTGTCATGGTCGGAAAGGGTGGCCCGCAAGCCGAAGTGAGCTGGAGCAATGGCTCGGCCTGTACGAACGCGTTCTTCGTGGGACATTCGTCCGTGGGATCCATCGCTGGATGCCGTGAGAAGGGGTGGCCTTACACACCCAGGGCCAGCGTTGGCTGGAAGGGCACCTTGCTTGGTACGCAAGATGTTCTAAGGGCCATGTCCACCTAGCACTAGAAAAGACTCCGGGTGGCAAAACTGGACTGGACTGGACGTCCGGCCATTGCCCATGTTCCTCATCTTCCCTCCCAAACTGCCGCTGACTCATGAGTAGCCGGTGGGCAGTTGACTGAGATTTTCGGCCTTCTACTTGGAAGCTGTACCCCACCTTCGTCCGTATCAGACTGTGAGTGCTGACTTCTGCATTCCACACAAACGTTATACGCGTTTTTTTCAAACATGCGCCGCAGCTGTACACACTTCTAAAAAGCACACATTTCTCTTCCATCACTTAAATTAGAACATACACTTTTTTTGCGTTTTCGTTTTTGTTCTGCATATCCCTTCACAAGCTAAGAAATGTATGTGGTTCAGCTGCAGTTTTGGTCACGTCTGCATTCAGTTCCAGGAAGCACAGACCGTAAATTCCGGTGCAAAACTGCGTCGGATTTCTCAAGCGCTCTGATTCACCGGAAGATGGGCCCACCGCCTGGGGCCAAAGTGTGTCGGCAGAGGGACGTGAGCAATGGTGAAAACGTGCAAAACACATCTGCTGTTCTACCATCACACGCGGTGACCCTGAAGGATGGTTCAAAGGAACTCACCTCCCTGAAGCCAGATGGAATACTGTTTTCTTGCTGAAGAGGCAAGGCCAAATCAGGTAACGGGTCAGAGGGAGGACCCAGAGCAATGGGCTATCCAGTCCTGCATTGCTTAACAATATACAGTGAGATGCCCATAAGCGGACATTCGCTGCTGTGTCTCCGGCAGCTGCTAATTCTAAGATATACTGCTCCTGTGTGAGGAATCTCCATTTTGCTACCATGGCTAAGGGGAATCATGTCTGTGAATCTAAACTATAAATTCCCCCATGGAGCACGTCCCTCCATCACAGGGATTCTGTGGACTTCGGGGACTGGTGGGGGAGGGCTTTGTAATAAGGCACATTAATTAATGCAAATGAGCACCAATAGGACTGAACTCTGATTTAAGCACATAAAAAAGCCCATTTGCATCAGACAAACCGTCCACCTAGTCCAGCTTTCTGCCCACAGAGGCAAACCAGCTGCCCACGGGCTTCCAAGAGCGGGAGAGGAATCCCACCACACACCCTTGCCCATGTTCCCCAGCAACTGCTGTTCCCAGGCCAGGAAGCGTCCTCCTCCATCCCGCCCCCTTTTAAAACCTTCCAAATTGGGGGCCATCGCTACAACTTGTCGCAGCCGATTTTCCAAAACCTGATTCCGCCAAAGAGCGAAGGACAGCACGGCAGCCGGTGAAACGAGAGATTTAACAAAACTGGCGCATCTCCCCCAGACGTCACCGGACTGCAGTGCCCATCAGCCCCAGCAGACACATGCGAGCGTGCGCTGCAGAGACCACTGCTTGGGGTGGGTCAACCCAGAGGAAGATCCGTTGCGGAGGGAGCCCGCTGGCAAGCGGACAAGTCCTGAAGAAACCGTCCGCAGGCCTGAGCTGGCATCACAGGCAGGGGCCGAGCCCCTCCAAAGCAAGAGAGGCCACGGATGCTTGGCTGCCCGAGGTCGAGCCAGCTGGGCGGCCAGCTAACTCTTCCTGCCCGTGGGGGATGAACGGCCCCCTCCCCTGCCCTGGAGGGCATCCGGCATCTTCCGGGGCTGCTCCGCAACCCAGGCACGCTTCCCCAGCCCCTTGCTGCTCTCTCCCCAGAACGGTCTCGCTCTGCGCACCCAGCCCAGGCCGCAGAACAGCACAGCGTCATGAGACCTGTGAGTAAGTGACGGGGAATGGGAGACCACGCACGCGCACACCCTGGTTGTGGGGCCCTAGTCCATGCATGCTGGAGCATGGCTCCAAAGAGCATGACCTCATTCACCCGGGCTCCCTCCGCGTTTGGTTCCCAATCTTTCCACATTCTTTTTGGCCAGAGCCAGCTGGGGACTTGCTCGGTCTGATCTTGTGCCACAGAAGTGGCTAAACTATCTAATGGGTAAAAACCACAGGCCTCCACAGCCCTGCATGCATGCAACACTGCGACAAAACACATTTGTATCTTGCCTGGTCTCCTCTATTTTATCCCCACAACAAGCCTGCGAGGTAGGACCGGATGAAGAGCCAGGGAGTGGCTTGAAAGTCTCCATTTAGCAAGTTCCTGCAAGGTCCTTTCATAGCCACCCTTCAGGTCTTTCAAACATATCATGGACACCGAGGGACAGAATTCCCTCGAAATCTATTTTGGGGCACTCCGAACAACGGGATGTCACTGTGACTCCCTGAACACACATCCTGACTTCAGAATTCTAACTAAGAGTTTACCAAAATTCACAAATTCCTTCACACATGGGATGAAAAGAACTTGAGATTTCTAAAAGTCAAAGGCCGGCGGAAGTGAAATGACACAATGACCCATCTTTCTTCAACCAACATTTCCATTTTCAGGAATAAATGTCAATTGTCTATTTACTCAAGCAAACCCAACTCCTTATCTGGTCCTTTCTGCTCTTGAAGGCGCTCTCCAGATTAGGGCTTTCAAGAGCACAACTTTTACTGAAGGGGGGGAGGTGTCCAGATGTTGTTCAAACTCACAGCTCTGCCATGTTTTCCCGCTGTTCCCTCCATCCAAAGCAGGAAATATCCTAGCCTTTGGATAGCACCAAGGACAGAAATCCGTCAGTTCCAGTTTCTCATTTCCCCCCCGATTAAATTCAATGCATCTCAGACTTCGATGGAAAAAATGATTATGTTTGCAAGAAAATGGTTTCACATTTTTGTGCCCATTTCCCATAATACATGCATTTAGGTATCTGTTTTTGACTAACTGGTGTCTTTTGCTGGCAATTCACCTATAATCAGGCATTTTAAATATCATTTCTCATCATACACTCATTATTCTATTTTTTAGTTGAGGAACTCCCCAGCAAAATTCAGAGAAGTGCAAATTCCACAAGATAACCCAGTTGTGTGATGCATATCGGGTTCAAAGGTGCAAATTTAAGTTTGCATTAAAATAGGAACTGAACTATCCCTCCCCTCCCCTCCTAATTAGCATTCAT